TAGAGCGAGCTTCTCGCAATCCAAACTGGGTGAGCACATCCACTTTTGTCTGTATTGTTTCCCTAATTAACTTTCACTTTTTATGCTAACAGTTGAGCACTCTGATGACTGACAAAACGTTTTAGTTTTCAGAAATATCTCTCGCATATTTTTTGAAGTCTAGGCTTCCCATGTCGAAAACGTCACTGGCAATGTGTCTTCCGAAAAACAAATTTCCTTCCAAAAAAAATCAACTCAGGTATATTTCACCTTTTATAATAGCCTAATTTCTCCGGGGCATGCTTAATCCTCAAACCGATAGAGTTGTGTATATGCTTTGCAGGCAGGCAGCCGCGCTCGCAGCAGGTGCACTGGATTTGAAGCTTTTTATTGAAAGGTGAGGTAGTCCACTACAAGGCAGCTTTATACACCTTTATCTAGTGTATTTTGTGGAGATCTGGCTGCCCTCCCCCGCGCCGAACCTCCGGACCCCAATTTCCGGCAACTCGCACTCGATGCCTCCGACATTCGTCACGCCTCGGGGGACCGGCCATGGCCTCGCGCAGCACAAGGTCCGGCTGGACTACTCCCCTAAGCCGTCTGACGTCACGGGACTGGCTCCCCAGAAGAAAGGACCCAAGGCTTGAAAAGGGGAAGCCGGACAAAAGAAAGACTCTCTTGGACGGCAGCGCTCTCGAACGGCGGGACACGAAGGATGGTGCAGCGGTGACAAGGAGACGAAGACGCTGGCGCGGGATTTGGCGGGAGGCGGACGCAGGCGCGTGGAGTGCGGGCAGTACGTCGAGTGGCGGACTCGACAAACGGACCGGACAGCAACCCTGGACGACGACGTCCCCATGACGCGGTGTGGACGACCACCGCTGAGACTTGGAGAAGCTGCTGTGGTAGCGGACTTTCCCCCGGCCTCGCTGATGACCGTCCCCCGATCCCGAAACCCCCCCGAGGCAATGAGTGAGTGAATAAACCCTTTTGCCGAGAGCGAAGTATTGCTGTGCCATATTCATCCGGAGACAGGGTCTGTGAGAATCGGAGTTAGAAGATGTCCGCATAAACTGGCGCGCAACGTGGGGCCTCATTTTTGATCAGGCAGGCATTCTGATTTTCTAACCTGTTTCCGGTTGAATTGGGGCACTGTTTCGCGCTCTTTTTGGGGGTCATCTTCGTTGCGGGAGAGCCGCGCGAAGTTTCGTTGCGGGCACGCCGCACTAAGGTCCTGACATTATCGCCTGCCTGAGGAGGAGGCGCGGACCTTGACCGTTGTCTTTAGGGATTAACCCTTTGTCCCAGCCAGTCAGGAATTTGCTTATCCCCCGTTACGAGAAGCGCCTTGAGTATTTGCTGTTCAGCGCACGGTTGGGTGCTGGCAGGTTGATCCTACTATGCAAGAGCGCTATGTGCGTCGAAATTACCGCACCCCTCGAGGCATGTAGCGTCGGGCGTCACCCCACCTAAGCCTCCGGCCGTCCACGTCTGCTGGGAAAGATGCCGGCTCACGGTTTGAGGGATGTGACGCGGCTAACCGCCTTTGCTCGCGAGTCGATGTATTGTTTTGAACCGCTTGTTAGCGATCGGACGCGTTAGAGAGGCATCGCTCCGGGTGGAGAACCCACCCATTGCGGGTGGCGGTTGCATGTACTGTGTTTGGAAATTATTCCCGCATTGCATTTTGTCCGGAAGGAGACTAGCGTCTCGGTTTGATCGCATGCTAGCTGCCAGTTGGCCTTGCTTGTGCTGTCGGCGCGGTTTTGAGCGTCGTTAGTTGACAGCGTTTTAAGGAACGGATGCGCTCTTGCGGTTCCGACCAAGATCGCTTTGAACGAGTACCTTGTGGCCATAGAGTACATTTAGGGGCTGAGCCCACTAAATCGGGCCGGGTACGCGATGTCCGGTGCGTGGACATCGGAATCCCGAAAACCACAGAGTTTCCGTTTTCACTTTATCAGTGGCTGTGCGTGTGTAATGCTCCCTGGAGTCCAGTCTGACGCGATGGGCATGACCCGTGCGTTTCTGGTTGTAGAGTCGTGAGGTTGATCCCGTTTAATTGTGCGCACAGTTGGTTCCGCATCCTCACACCGCCATATCGATGGTTAAGCCTCGCGGCGGGAGTTACTCTTTCATCGTTTTCTCCGCCTCCGGAGGAGCGGCGGCTAGCGCGCGCTTTGCGCTGCCGCCGTATACAGTACGGCTCTCGGCCGTGGTTTGGTTCGCGTTGGGACGCGAAGGCGTAGAGAGCGTAATTGGTCGTGCAGAGACCCGGATTAGACATAAATTATAAATTTAGGGGAGACAAGACAGCTAGGTGAGGAAAGAGCTGTGCTCGTGCAGTGAAGACCTGCACGAGGGGAGTGGCGGTCTTGCGATATTGTGACGAGTTGTTCATAGTTTTATCCTGTACAGATGCGCAGTTGGCCAGGGAAAACGTACGGTTCACGTCGGCGGGTACGTGCCCGGAAAGCCTAGAAATTATGGCAGCGGCATGGCCGTCGGTGGCCTATAACTGTTGTGCGTTGGGTCAGCCCGTCGCTGTACAAACTTGCTGCCTTTGCATGAAAGGGTAGCGGGTGTTGGAATGCGGCAGTAAACGCGGTAGACACTTTGACGCTGCGGAAACTGTTTATGCAGAGCAAATATAGTTTATTATCTCGTCCATCTCCAAGACTGGCCGGTTCGATTATTTGGCACTTCGGTATCGCGCTCGTTGCGCGGAAGTTGAGAGGTGCGCGTGTGGGAGACTCTCATTGTTCGAACTCTGCCTGTCCTCAAAGTCGCAAGAAGACTTTTCAGTCATGCGGCGTGTTGACTTGGCTGGGGGCGAGCTTTGTGCGTAACCTACTGCGTTTGTATGTGGACACGTTGCTCGATTCGAGAACGTTGAAGAGTCGCGACACGCGTTGACGGTATACTTTTATTGCTCGATCCCGGCCGGCCTTGACATCAGTTGGAAGACTTTTTAGTTATGCGGTGTCGGGGTTCGGCCGGGGGAGAACTCTAACGTGCGTCAATTCGCTTATCGCGGTTGTCGAGCCCGTGCGGGGTTCGGTGCGGACCGCCGTTACGCGCTCGTCGCTCCTGTTGGGTGGTTACCTCCGAGCGGTGAAGCGGTAACGTCTGGTACATGCCCAGACGTTACGGCCATAGCCGTGTAAATAGGCTGTCCAATGAGATCTGCTGTTCGCACGATCCAGGTACTGTTCCCTTTGTACTGGCGTAAGTGGCCGGTACCACGAAACAACGGCCTCTCAGTAAGGTGATTACCCCTTCTGATGAAGGCGTGCTGCGTAGCTTGGCTGTAGCGTGTTTGTAGCTCGGGTGTCGTGAACGCCGAGTGCATGGGTGCCTGTCTTGGGTAATTGCTACTGTTGCCAGCGTGTTCCTTATGAGTCGAACCTCGCAAACGGGACAGGATTTGTGGCCGTTTCTGTTTTACGGGAGGTTATTGTTAGTTCTTGAGGTTTTGTACGTTCTTCGCGAATGTGTTGGAGATTAATAATGTTGTCAGAGTTGTGCGGTTCTGACGCTCTGGTAGATTGCTAGTCCTTTAAAAGAATGCGGTTGAGTTTGATAGGAGCAAATGTTGTATAGTGGGCGTATGTACGATTTGAGTATACAATGAGTGCTCACGCTTTTTAGTTCAGGAATAGATTTCCTCTTAGGTACCTCATGAACGTGTAGCGTGACGTTCTTGATGATTGCCTGCCTGTTGGTATTGAAATGAAGAGTTTTGTTTTTATTTCGTGGCATGTCCAACGAATCGAAAGATTTTGGTTTCGTCGCGCTGTCTGTATAGCGTGCCGGTATTCGTTTTTGCGCGATTCGCTGTCTGTTACATTGGGGACGGAAGCGAACTTTAAGAGCCGGCGTGTTGTGTGTGCCTGAGTGCCCGTCCGTGTTGTGAGCTGTGGTGCTCCGGGCCAGTTCGTGGACCGTGCTCCGTCGGTCACGAGCTTCCCAGTGAATGGACGTTCACCGCTGACCTGCTTGGTTTGATGCCATCATCATCATCGAGGGTGCTCGTCGTCATCGGTGACTATCAGCTGAACGAGTTCCCTGCCTGAGGTCCTGGGGACCACGCAACCCTGGGTCCCCCTCAGTCCGAGCCTTGAGGGGAGGGAGGTGTGGAGATCTGGCTGCCCTGCCCCGCGCCGAACCTCCGGACCCCAATTTCCGGCAACTCGCACTCGATGCCTCCGACATGCGTCATGCCTCGGGGGACTGGCAATGGCCTCGCGCAGCACAAGGTCCGGCTGGACCACTCCCCTAAGCCGTCTGACGTCACGGGACTGGCTCCCCAGAAGAAAGGACCCAAGGCTTGAAAAGGGGAAGCCGGACAAAAGAAAGGCTCTCTTGGACGGCAGCGCTCTCGAACGGCGGGACACGAAGGATGGTGCAGCGGTGACAAGGAGACGAAGACGCTGGCGCGGGATTTGGCGGGAGACGGACTCAGGTGCGAGGAAAGTGCGGGCACTTCGTCGAGTGGCGGACTCGACAAACGGACCGAACAGCGACCGTGGACGACGACGTCCCCGTGACGCGGTGGGGACGACCACCGCTGGGACTTGGAGAAGCTGCTGTGGCAGCGGACTTTCCCCCGGCCTCGCTGATGACTGTCCCCCGATCCCGAAACCCCCCAAGGCAATGAGTGAGTGAATAAACCCTTTTGCAGAGAGGGAAGTATTGCAGTGTCATATTCATCCGGAGACAGGGTCTGTGGGAATCGGAGTTAAAAGATGCCCGCAAATTATAATTATTTGTTGTTACTTAATAAATGTTGGCGCCATCTAGGAACCGGTGCACAAATAATTCGAGTCAGCCAATGTTCCGTTACTTACTCTGGCCAGGCGTCGGACACAGTGGCGGCGTCAGCGTTTAGCAAGAACTCGGATCTAATCTCAGGCTTTGTGTCCAGGACGCCTGTGTTACCAATGTCGGTAGATGGGGTTTCGAAAATTGTTTATATGTGCAATATGTGATTCCTTCTAATTTATCATATTTCCACACAGACAACTTCTCCAGCCTGATGTCAGCGGAAAAACTCCTTTGGACATGTCGCAATACCAGCGTATCTTCAGTGTTTACCGCACGCCTGCTATAGCCTGCGATCAACTGGAGTTCAATACGCCCCTCGAGAAATCTGGGAAACACGTGGTAGCCATACACAATGGCCAGGTACGTGTGCGCTGAACTTCCATTGGGTGCAATCGATGTCAGGTAATGTGCCGTCTTAATCCTGCAATAAGCCAAATATTTCTCTGGAGACCTACCAAGATGATCACTCTGCAAATTTCAAGATGCACCGTCGGTGAAGGCGAATCTAGGAGTCCAATATATGTATCATCGCTTTAGAAAAAAGGTTTTGGTGAAAGTTAAAAAGAATGTTCCTTCGGTTGAGATGCATAAGAAATTATATGCAACGTGCACAGAATAACCGAGGTGGCAGGATGTAACTTTCCAGAGGCACTAGATTAAGACAGCCACGTAGCACCAAATATGACAGAGATGTGTGTTGCGCAGCGCACTGAAATATATTATTATAAACCTTTACAAGCAGCTGCGAGGGGCTTTAAAATAGGTAATGAATCTCACACTAAACAAAATAAAAACGAAGTAAATAATAACCATGCTGTGTTCATTAAAAGTGACATATCATAATCATGAATGTCGTTTCACCGATATGCGAGATTCTGCAAAAGTTGGTGGTGATAAAAACCCAAGTTTTTTTTTTTTGCCTAACGATCGCGTCGCCAAGGAGAGGTTAAGCGCTTAGATCTATTTCTGTCTCAGCTTTTCGAAATCGGTAACTTCGACGCACTAAGGAGTGAATCAATTCATCATAATGGACACCCATCTCTCGCCTTATACATCCTGGCAAAGGAGAAGCAAACTGTTTTAGTTTGCTTCCCCTGTTACTTAATGGTTTCAGGAGATTTTGAATCAGATTATACTACGTATGTGTAACTGCTGCATGTTTGGTGTGTGAGAGCAAAGGACAGGAGAGAATCAGAGAAGACAAAGCCCTAGCTATAGTTTTTGCTGCCTTCAGCAGTTACACCTATGTAATCTAATCTGATCCAAAATATCCTAAAACCATTCAATCACAGGGTGGAGAAATTTCGTCCTTGGCATCCAGGGTTGCGTGTCAAGTGATAACAGCGTCACAACTTAGCGCAAAGCCGCGCTTACGTCAATATCTCAGGGGGCGGGGGAGATTTTGCTCGTGCTGCACAAACAGTCCCCGCCTTGGCGTGGGATCTATATGAAAATGGCGGTATTTTATTCGCGTGTCTGGCAACTCTATTCACTTTCCTCAGCGGGATACTGGTGGTGGCATAGGCATAGCGACACCCGTGGCTTGTGATGTTGCGTGTGTCGTCCGAGGCACCCGAAGGAGTTATTGATGTTCATCAATGTCGTCCTGAAGCCGCTCTTCATACTATTGGTTGGGGCTCTACGTTCTTTTTTGTGGCATCCAGCCCTTCAAGAAGCATTTCTGTTCCTTTTTGTGTTGCGCTATATACTTCATGATATGTTGTACCAACTAGCCCACCAGATAATCCTGAAGTATCCAACAGCACTGATACCATAATTGCGTATCGCCGCCTCATGCACGCCTTCATTTTTACACTTTCGGCAACGCGCACCGAGTCGTTTTATCGAAAATGTCACCGCTAAAAGCGCTTGATAACACAGACACCCCCTCGGCTCCCCGTGGTTCGTGTGAATGCTGGAGTCCTGGAGGGAGTCCCGCTTCTTCCGCCGAGCAATGACGTCAGGCACATTCCTCCCTGCAAAGCATCCCCGTGTCAATGCTGCACTACAATTAGCGCCAGGGCGATCGGTGACGGAGTAATAACGAAACGATATTGGTGGCCGAGTCTGTTGGCGCATCGGAGGTCAAAGCACGCGGTATGAAGTTGAAGGCACGTGATGCATATATATCTCCTTCCGGTTGCATTTTTAATTTTCAGCGGACCGAAATCTCGGCAATTGAGTTCCAGATATGTGGTCGAGTGTCCTCCATAGCGACGCGCGAAAGACGTCTGTATTGATCCCAACCGTCCAGTGGTCGATGAGCGCTCCACGAATGTCGCTCATCAAGCAAATCGAAATGAATAGAGCAATTCTTCATAAGTTAGACGCCCGCAGGTTGACATTTCACCGATCGAGACATTTAGATGACTGCTTTGGTCATGCAAGCTGCAACATACAGCGACTCCCGAGAGAACATTTCTGCGTTCAAATCTATCGGCTCCTGAGAGCATCGGATCAAGAAACCCGATTCGGGTGCCACATCGTCGACTGAACTTGCCGCACGTGCAATACCCAAACGCGCAATATCCAAATTGCGTAACATTGGATAACAGCCTCATGGCTCACTATCGCATCGCGGAGGATTCTCTCTCGTAGGGTTGCAGTTTCGCCTCGCGATTTCACCAGTTCACCCCACGTTGGTGTAACCCTGCGCACGAGGGTTTGTTTGTTTGTTTGATGGCTATTTTGTAACCTCTAGAATGTAACCATTCCTACAATGGTCCTGAACAAGGACCAGTAGTATAAATAAATAAATAAAAAGAATACGGCGCAAGATAACCACAGAGACTGCACTTGGAGACTTTACAACATAATAGCACCAGACTACGGAGACCACTCCTCTTCTCCGGCCTTATTTTAACCATATAAAGAAGCTAATGTTCTTACCAACTGTTTTAGACCAATTTAAATTTGAATCCGGAGAAACCCAAGACGCTGCACTGGCTTACAGCTGATATGGAAATTTGAAGTAAACCGAGGGCCGCGTTTTCCGTGCTAAATGTATCACACCCTAAGTGTACACCAGTTTACATGAGGAGTAAAACGAAATGAAACCCGGGATTTTTACCTCCATATAAAGATAAGCACCGCAGAATGCTAAAAGTTCGTGTGAATGAGCGACTCTATAGACGCTTTGCAGCAGCTGTGCATGGACGCCGCCATAACTGACCTTTAGTTTTTGCTTCCTCTTACTCCGTTTACTTCACTTCATCATTACCATAGCAGGCCAGGTTATTGCCATCCTAGATTCAACTGTGTCCTTTTCTAAAGCATCGGCCTTTGTAGAGGATCGTCAACTACCGTTTCAGTGACTCGGCATCTCGGTATGACAAGAGAAGGTAAGCAATGGCGGCTGTAATTTGGCGCGTGTGTAAAGCGTCTATATATGGTGATAAAATGAGCAAGCTAAAAAAAAATAACCACAGAACGTTACATATATAAAAAAAAACTATAGCCCAAAACGAAATCGTTTCTATCAACCAATGTCCACCTATGCCTAATATTGGTCAAACAAATCAATGACAATGCGAGCGAACTTGGTATTTATTTCAGTGAAACAATCTGGTCAGCGAGGAAGACGTTTAGTTTTATTTCTGCTCAGTTGTGTGATTCACTAAAATAGGTTGTACTGACGACCAGAATGCTATTTATATATTTTACTGCTAACAAATAAACCTCCGAGCAAAAAAAGAATCCTTACATCTGTTTTATTCTTCATCCCATCTACGACATGTTAGAAAAAAAACAAGAAAACTTTGCATCTTGTACTATTTGTCAGCGTTAATTTACACCGATTTGAAGAGTTTTGGTGAAGCATAGTTTACAAATGCGGGCCGTAAAAAAACAGTTTCAATTTCGCAATTCGATACAGATCCATGCAAACGAAAATAAGATACCATTAATTTCTCCTTGTCCTTTGCGCCTGGAAGTTGAGTGCGAGTTTTGTGCCACGCAGATGTTTACCTTCAACGCGTACGATGCCCAAGGAGTGCCCCACGACGAAAGCAGGATCCTCGCCCAGCTCATCCGAGTCGTGGAAATGTCTCCCGAGAAGGACGTCGGCGTGGGCATTCTGACGGCGGAAGACAGGAACGTCTGGGCGAAGGTGTACGCCAGTCTTGGCCAGAGTGAGTTTCAAGTCGAATCATGTACTTTACGAGGAAAATAAATCCTACTTCGCTCATGCATTGGACTGTGCGCTTAACGAACCAAATCTTCCGCGAGGAGTTTGGACGCTCGGCGTCCGAAAGATCGGAATTGTTGTTTGTTTGTTTATTATGGGGTGTCGGGAAAGGGGGAAACCAGGAGATGTGGGCCTCAATTAACGGGCGAGTCGCTACCTGGTTGTTGGGGAAAAAGGATAGAAAGAGGGAAGATGAAGATTATATACCAAAAAAAAGGAGTTAAAAGGTCTATTTTTACAACTAATCTAGTTATAAATATCCGCCCAGTTAGTTATCAACATAGTTCAGAGCCTTTGGTTAGGGAGCGAAGTAGACCAAATCACAGTCTATCCGCCAGCCCAGTGTCACGTAGAATGCGCAGAAGAGCGCGGAAGGCTTTCTCCGCTGTTCCTCTGGTTCCTCTAGGGTTCAAAAGTTCTGTAATAGTTCCATATGGCAGGCCAGATAGTGTGTAGTGTTGGAAAAGAGTTCTTCTGGCCTCGTGATGTGTGGAACAAACCAGAAGGGCATGTTCTGTGTCCTCTGGGTCGCCGCAGGTGGGGCAGTTAGGATCCGCTTTGCGACGCATCATGTGGAGCCGCTTAGCAGTGTATGGGCAACCAGCCCGAAGCCTGTGGAGAAGGCTTGTCTCAGCCTTGGGGAGCTTGCGGGGAACCACGGGGGGTGGCCTCCCCGTTGCGACCCCAGGATGTGGATGCCGTTCTGTGAGGATCTCACGGATGAGTCGATGAGCCTCGTTGAAGCGATCCAGTAAGAAGGTTGGGACTGGATCGTCATGTGCTTTTGCAGCCAGCTGGTCAGCCCGTTCGTTGCCAGGAATCCCGACGTGAGACGGGATCCATTGCATAGCAAGGCACCATCCCATGTCTTCAACTGCCGCTGCCTCAGACGCGACTCTCGCCAGCAGTGGGGTTGCATTATGAAGTCTCTGAAGCTGCTGAAGAGCACCTCTTGAGTCTGTGAGTACGACAGCTTTTGTTGGTGAGGAGGTGTTCTTAATTGACTCAAGAGCCGCCCAGATGGCAACGAGTTCTGCCGTGGTTGACGACGATACAAAATTTAGCCTGCCCGATATATCATAGTCCATTTCTGGAATGGTAATCCCAACCGTGGCAGTCCGTTTGGTGAGGTTAATTGAGGCGTCTGTATAAACATGAACCCAACCGTCATACACTTCGTCTATGCGCTCAAGAGCGATTGAGCGAGCGACAAACCCTGGGACATTCGCCTTGCGCTGTGGGATTGGGAGCGTCGCATGTATCTCCAGGGGAGGACGCGTGGAATGAGGTGGTTGAGGGAGGATAAATTCGCTAGGAGCTCCAACTTCAAAGTCGAATCGTCTTGCTTGGCGCCCGAGGTGAGAGTTTGGCCGGGCAAAGAGATGTTTACGGATTGTGTCCGCAGGGGGGAGACTGCTCATACGAGCGATGTTGCGCAGCGCTCTCTCTTCAAGTCTTAAAGACAGCGGCCACTCTTCGGCTGCAACAATTGTAGCCACGTTCTCTGCTGAAGGAGGCAGTCCCAAGCAGCTTCGTAGGGCGGACCGGTGAAAAGCATCGATGTCTCGAATTTGTGCCCTTGCAACAGCCAGTAGCGGTAGTGAACCGCTCTCGCGCTTTCGAGCTTCGCCGAAAGAGGGGGCTGCCATCAGCGCCGAGACAGCAGAGATGGTTGTCTCCGCTATCTCGATGGGCTTCCAGGACCGATAGATCCGCCATCCCTCCCTATACAAAGATAATAAGCCAGAAACTGTGCGCGAGCGACCAGCCATTTCCACTACGCTAAAGAACGTTTCAATCATAAAACGCGTGCTCATGGGAGCGTTCGCCATATATGTATCGCACCGTCAAAACTGTTGATCATGGGAGACGATAAGTAGCTGACCACACGTGAACACCGCTATTGGCGACGTGCGCGATCGAAAGCGTCGCTGTGGTCGGCCGTGAACGATTGGTCGAATCCTGACTATGACGTCAGCAAAGGAATTCTCATCGACGGAAATAAGGGGAATGTAAGAACTTCAATATTGACGATGTTGGCAATGTTGGCACCAGAGCGCTGTGATGTCAAGCTTCCACCATGATCATTATTGGCGACGTGCGCGACCGAAAGCGTCGCTGTGGTCGGCCTTCCACGATTGGCCCAAAAGCTGACTATGACGTCGGAAAGAGATAGATAGATAGAAAAATCGTTTTTATTACAAAGAAAGTCACGTGGCTGAAGCCGATAGCCTTCCAGGAAAGGGAAATTAAGGGGTAACTAGGTCAGAGGAGCTTTCTGATTCCTGTCGTCGCAATGAAGTCTAGTAGGCTTATACCATCGACGGAAATAAGAGGAGTGAAAGAACTTTAATTTCGACGGTGTTGGCGGTGTTGCTTTGAGAGCGCAATGATTTCAGGCTTCCACCATGCTATTTACAAACACCATCGAACTTGTTTTTCGCAAGGTAATGACGTCACGAGAGGGACTCATACGAGAGCGCCACCAAAACATCTCGCCGCTAATATGAGTGTCCACTCTAAACTCTCAAGAAAAAAGGGTGTCGAAAGGTGTATTCTTACACCCTTTGTCCCATATAATACACCCCCAAACTTCAATTCGACGTACAGTGCCCTACAGTCGAACAGAGGGCCCGAAATATTACGAGGGGCTTGATAGCCGTGTGGTACAACTTATTATCGAAAGGAAGAAGAAGCCAACTGGGCGCAAGACGTGTCTTTTCGATCATCCGAAAGCCAGCCGGACCAGTGGCACAGACCATGCTTTCGATCGACATGGTGCTCAGGCTGCTCAGTTACAAGCTGGACCGCAGGCTGAAAGACTCCAAGGCCCGCTTTTGTAAAGACCGCCGCTCGGCCAACACCGGCGCCAACCCCTGCAGCCCGCCCGCGGGGGTGATGGATTCCCTGCGTCGCCGGTAATTCGGCCGGCTACTATGCAAGTCGGACACGCGAGGAGCCCACTCCAGGTGTTCGAGACCGGCCTGCTAGAAGTAAGCAGCAAATGGCAGCACCGCGAAGACCACAACCGCGAAGAATGCTATTAGGCCTAACGCACATACCTAATCATAAGCACTCTCATCTTGTTTATTACATCATCTTATAACCCCTTCACTAGACGCGGCACCGCGGGCCTCCTTGGTACGGGCTGTTGCCTTTCTGCGGTGCCGCGGCTCTCCTGAGCAAATAAAGATTATTATTATTATTATTATTATTATTATTATTATTAAAATAGGTAAAGTACGTATCAAAGACCACATAAAAAAATACCGAGTTTTTACAGCAGGGTCAAGAAAACCCGGATTATTTTTTTCCTGTTCAGTAAAACATATATTTGCTATTTTAATAAGTTGTACCACACGGCTATAAAGCCCCTCGTAAAATTTCGAGCCGTCTGTTCGACTGTAGGGCACTGTACGTCGAATTGAAGTTTGGGGGTGTATTATATGGTACAAAGGGTGTAAGAATACACCTTTTCACACACTCTTTTCTTGAGAGTGTATGTGGGAGCCGGCCTTTAAGCTGTCGGCGCACAGGCCAGTAAATTTCGCGTATTAAATTATTTTCACTATACTTCGTTTACATTTAAATTTAAACAAAGCCGACGTTACGAGGTAAGGGCGTCGATCAAGCAGCGTAAGAAGCGCAAGTCGCTAGGCCTTTTCTGCTTATGATTGGTTCAGCAATGTGAGAATACGTACGTACAGTCGGGGACAAATGTCTCCAGAACACGCGAGCTGCGACTGAAACGCATTGCCCTGCCATCTGCCGGCCGGTCGCTTGGTTTCGAGATCACAGAAACGAGCGCGCGTGTCCTACTCTCCCTGCCAGCATGTCCGTTTTCCCGCTCTTCTGCGCCGCGGCGGCGAACTCGGAATCGGGCGCGTGGTACCGCGTCGGAGAGAGCGCTTACTGACATGGCACCTATAAAGCAAAGAAGTCACGGCAGGTCAAATGAGCGATAAGCTGAACTGGTTATAATGCAAGCTGCGCTGACACGGCAAATGCGGCGCAATGCCCCAGGCGGTATCTCGAGTTTCGCATTATGTAGCAGACGCTCGTCAGCCGCCAGCACTATCTCCGAGGCGACACCACGTGCCCGATTCCTAGTTAGGTGCCGTGCCACAGAAGAGCGGGAACACACACATCTTTGCAGGCAGAATAGGACGCGCATGCGGTTTTGCAGGATCTCCAAACCAGGCGACCCGCAGGCAGATAGCAGAGCAATGCTTTTCAGCCGCAGATCGCACGTCCTGGGGACTCTTGTCCCCGACTGTACAGAAGCAAGTGCATTTTTGAAGCTGTCTGATCGATCCCAATAGTTCGTCGCATCTGCTGCGTCGACACTTGGTGTGGTGGTTGAAACTATGGTGGAATATGTTGTCGAATAGAATTTCGGCCCTTTTTTTACAACGACGCTCTTTATGGCTGGGTTCCGTGGATTTTTCGTGCACGTCAACAAAATCTCTATTTTCCCAGTTAAATGTAGCATAAAAATTTGCCCGTCTATATTAGCTGAAAAATATTCTCTGCAAAGTGTAGCGGGAAATTTTTTCCCCTAAAGTTAGCGCAAATATTTTCCCGTCAATCTCATTAAAACAAATTCCCAGGCAAGTTTAGTCGAAAAAGTTCACCGCAATATTTAGCGGAACAATTTCCCAGCTATATTTCGCAGGGAAATTTTCCCGCTAAATAAAGCGGGGAAATTACCGGGAAAAAGGACGAGGAGGGAAGCGCTCGCTTTCTAGTTGTCGTCGTTCATAGCGCTTGCGTGCTTAGTTTCCTTTCCTTCCCCTGGGTGGCGGTCCCGTCGCGCGTGCCTAGTTTCCTCCGGCTCCTCGGGGCGTCGATAGCCATGGACATGTGGGTGCGCACCTTCCTCATGAGGGCCAGCGATCTGGGTAATACATATGTTCGTAGCTTTGTTCAAAATTTTGCGTTACGCCTGCGTGGTGTGCTAAACAGATTCGCAGGTCTTCCACCCTCATAGAGTAGATGGCTCAGAGTTGTTTTTATTCTTACGCAAGAGACCCTGTTTCGAAAGTCACTTTGCCATTTGTGAGAAGGTCGGAACCACTGCGCAATGGCGGAACAACTAATACCGAGGTACGTGCAAGTCATTGCGTAAGGCTGCAGACGTCGGGGAGTAGCAATGTTCGAGATCTTTACATCAAAGTAGTTGCCTGACCAGTGGATAGAGAGCTGTTACGCATTCGCTACCATTAGTTTGCTTCAACCTGATTGGTTTCGGATTCAAAGTGTACGCGTCTGTGTTGCTGCAATATGTCGTTTTTGATTAATTTTATGATGAAAATGTGCTCCTTTTAGGCTGGAAAAAATGCGAACAGTGGTACCGGCTAAATTTAGAACCACAAAGTTGTTTTGTACACACGTCGCAGGTATTTTTTGGAACACGTTTGATGCATCTGGTTTTGTTTCTTGTTAATGCTGGGTTCGGCGAAGAGACCTTTGAACTGATTCACAGGGAGGACTAGCATCGTCTATAACCGTGCCTGATGACGCTGGCTCGAAACAAATACAACCAGGAAAAATACTAGTGCATAATTGCTTAGTGATTAAGCAAGTCCATAACTTGATTAACAAATCTAAATCGTGAAGAACTCATGAACTTGAAAGTTTACTTATCACTGCCTGGATCCCGTAGACGTTACCTTTTTGAGAACTTCGCAAAGTAGAGAGTTTTCTATATTGACGCCAACAATATAGAGTTATCTCAAAAATTTTTTCGGACTCTTTCCGATAAAAAAAAGTAATTGTAAAATATTTCCATCTTCGACATAAACCAAGTAGGACATTTCTTACATTATGTACCCCGCTAAGGTTCTATAGAACTGCATTGCAGAACATTGGTTTTAGGAAATAAACTATTTGTTATACGGACATGCGTATACTGCGTACTTAAAATATGCCATGAATGACAAGCCCGTCAAATTAAGGCTGAAATTTTGCTTTGCCCCAAGTAAAATTACAGGGCGTAAGAAAAAAGACCTCAGAACGCATGGCTCATATCGAACGCCAGGCGCCACTTCATGGATTTCTGTACATATATCTTCATTTTTTAAACAGATGCTCTTTTTGAATTTCGGTGCCGCCAGCCAGTAAAAGCAAACCTCTATTCGGCCTCGACAACGACGCGCACAAATGATTTTATGGACGCGGCTTTTTCTCGGTGTGAAATTTTGCGGCTCCGAAGCACTCCCAAGTTGTCTGTGGCAGTGTTTTGTGTCGGAAGTTCTAACCTTTATATTTAAATAAATTTATTGTATTAAACTAGTTTTTTCAGCATATCGTTAAAACAAGAAATACTGCAGGCATTGGACGGAGGCCCTGTATTAGTATGTAGCGCGTTCGATGTCGTGGACGGAATAGATGGTGCGACCGACTCCGAGCTTAGGTGAAAACGTTCTGATTATTCTCTCGTGCCGCTGGGCTCGCATCGACGAGTGACATCGTCGTCTTTTATCTGCGGCTTGGTAGGCCGATTGACCGCCACAAGTATTTTTTTTTTTAAATTTGTAAATAAACCAATCAAGGAAAGGTTTATATTGCAAAAACGATTACCAACGTCAACACATGAAGGCGTAATAATATGAACAAAGAAATTCCCTCATGCTTACGTACTATAATGCCATGCCGCGAAAATGCGCGTTAAAATTTCGTTGGTTATCTATTCCAGAAGTTCCCCCTTTAATTATATTCAGCGGTTTTCGATCTGTAATATATTTAAAAAAAAAGAAAATGCTTTCAGAAATAACACAGAGTGGATCATTATGCTGCTGGTTTTTGCAACATTCTTCGCGCTTTACTATGAATGTGCTGCCGCTTGCAGTAAGCAAACCTGAGTTGTCGAAAGTAATCCTCCTGTGAAAGTGCTGTTTTCGAGTAATTTTTATGCTCAATGTTCATCAGTGGTGGCTTTTATTCCTGTGGCCCACGTAAGCTGACTGTAATAACTTAAAACTACGTGTAGATAATGATGTGATACAATTAAGTGGTAAATATAGATACCCGACGAAACAGTCCGAAGCAAGGCAAAACGTGTGCTGAAAGGCCACTCGGATTCAACGTATCCGCCCACGCGCGTAGGGGAGAGCGGAGCGAGATGTTGAAGCAACCTGATGGCTGCCACATCACGCGACCCCAATATTAGAGCGCCCATGCGAGGATCGGCTATATGGTCTATAGTAGACGCCGAAGCATTTAAACAGTGTCAAAATTGTGACACCACATACTTCATAGATTTTTCTTTCTGCAACCGTAATACTGCCCTTTATTCTAAGCAAGAGATTGAAGTCTGCACTGACATTGAGGGTTTCGTTCGTCATTTGGCAGAAATTCCGTAGCATCGAACAAAGGCACGCTTATGAAAGCGGCCCATCAAGTTTCCTAAATTCGAAAGAACAAAGTGCTTATAGGGACTACTGTATGTGATGTTACAATTTTGTGCAGGCGTATCGTTCCCAGTTTGGTGCAACAATGGCTGTGTGCTTCGTGGCATGGTGTCACAACGAAATATACCTCTTTTCTGTAGTCCTCTGCGCAAGGACCTATTCTCGCTCCCAGTGTGTCGCCGTCATTGTGGTAGTGCCGCCGCGCTAGCCACGCCTTGGTACAAGTAGCATCAAAGTAGCCAAGGTAGTTTAAGTCGTGTTGTGATCGTGTTCATCGTGTTTATCTGCAGTTGACCGGGACTGTGTGTCTGGCCTTTTTCTCTTTATAACGCCCAGCATTATTGGTGGCACGGCGAAATGTTTACAGAGTGATAGCTTGGTTAATTCAACGGCCTCAGAAAGACGCCATGCCATATACAGTGATACATGTCATGCTATAATACCTTTCTCTTGTTCCGCAGTTTGTTGCTGAAATTCAAGAGGGAAAGAAAACACGAATCGTTTATTTTACACACCCTTTCGCCCGATGTACTCGTTAATCAACCACAAAGAACTAAATAGCAGCTGTTCATCTGTTGATCAATGCCGCGGAGCACAAGCACAGGACAACCACTTTCTTTCAGATGGCAACAACGTTTATTTCATGTAGAAAAATTGCACTCTGAACGAGATCCCAACTAAGATAAAGTGAAAAGGGAATGAAAAAGGACAGGACAAAACTGTGAGGCACCACACCGAAACCGAACCATCATCGTAGTTCTTCCCGTGCCTCGCGGTTTCTCCCTCCCCCTTTCCATCTCCCAATTTTCCTTCCCTCTTATCAAGCTATCTTAGTTGGGTTTTCGTTCAGGGTGCAATTTTGTCGCCGCCCAAAAAATGTTTTTCCTCAATGAAAGAACGTGGTTATCCCCTGATTTTCCTCTGCGTTTTATTTATTTTTGTTGCTTTTAATTAAGCAACAAACTTGTTGCGAAAAGTGTATTTAATTGTATTTATGATTTCTCTAGGTCATTAAAAATGTATTTTTCAGCGTTTTTAATGTGAAGCGAAGTATAAGGGCTCGTTTGTATGGCGTCCGCTTAAGGCCGGCGTATGGTAAGACTAACTATAAAGAAAAGAAACCTGTTAACGGAAACAGAGCGCTAGTATGAGAGTGCAGCACACCTCGCGACTTAAAAACTTGAGACCGAAAAATAACGCAAAGACTTTTTATTCGCAAAAAATAAATTGAAAATCGCAAAGCGGAACCCAGTACTACAATAAAGAATGGTTTCCGATTATTGGGACGCAGATTCTCTGAACGAAGCGTCTTTGGAAGCGATCAAGAGGGCTTCACTCGTGGTGTGCCTTGACGGCAGACTGGACGACGTGGATCCCTATGAGGTGGCCTGGCCCCGGCAGGTATACAAGGGCGGTCCGAACGCCGAATATGCAGCCAATCGATGGTGGGACAAGCCGGTTCAGGTAAGCACCAAGACGGGTTGAATACTGTAGACACATACCCTCTAGCATAAGCCGCTACTGCGCTGGAATGCATGAGAACATTCATAGGCGCGAAGTACCATCCTGCACATAATAAGTTACAAAACGCGACCGATGTCCGTTGAATATTTCGAGCACCGCGCATGCGTGGAGGTGGAAGTGCGCCGTGCATGGGGTGGCCTCGGCCCTCCAGCTGGCGACCACGCCACCGTGTCGCAGTCTGTAAGAGGAAAGCGGCTGACGCCGAAGCACTTTCCAGTGTTAAAACCAGCTGTGTCCTCCGTAGTACCGACATGAGGCCTTTTTTGTTTGCCTTCCGTTAATCAACAAAACTGTTTGCCTTAAGCGCGTTTTCTGCGGCTTGGCTACTGAATATTTTTTTGTTTATTGTTGAGCCCTTTGCCGAAATATAAAGGCCGTTGTGGACAAATGCCAAGCAAAGATCCAAGCATTTTTACATGTCTCGATAAGCAATAGAGGAAACAGTGTTTCGTAATGCATCACGAACTATCAGTTAACAATAGAGCGGTAGTATATTAGGCAAGAAATCTAGAGATGTAATGTTCAAGCGCATACATAAATCGCTCTATCATAGTAAAAATATACACTTCCTAGTCGACCTGCGTAGACATCTTCCTAAATTTCCTGCACATTAGCTACGAAACCTTAGCACTTAATGTAGTCCCTGACGAGATGAAAACGGCGGAAAGGATCTTCAGTTGTCTAGCGTCCAGAGGGGGCCTGCTACCTTCGGCAACGCTTCGCTCCGGCATCTCGTGTACACCGTAATCGCGCGACATCAAAGCACGGCGGAAGTCAATGATGGCGTCCTGTAGGCTGGGCGTTAAAACTCGGATTGTCGTTCACACACTGTCGGCGACTAAAATACCAGACATCTTAGAAAAAAATGAAAACAGGGCCAGGGCAATGCCTTATTACTGATCCCTTCTTCTGCCCTGCTGAGACTTTATGCTTGAGGTGAACGCGGGAATATATCTTCTCATTACTTCTAGTTTTATATTCACATTCTTAATTGTTAATGCAACTCACGGCGCATAGCGGCACCATGCTCCGTAAAAGAATGCTCAGAGAGTTATTTTATTCGTTTCTCGATCTAGGTGATTGTCGGAGAAGACGGAGGGTCTGCACTTCTCTACGATCACACAGCCTTCGACGGCACTGCGATGGCTGGAGTCACAAACCACTGCTATCATTACGCGTGAGTTTGAATTCAGCGCAAAGTCGAGTGCTTCTTTAAAGATTCTTATGGGAAGCGAAAGTTCATCTGCCTCTTACGCAGGCGTTGCGATAATGTCGGAACGCGGAGCACTTATTGGCTGAATTAAAAAAAAAATAGTTGATAGACCTGAAGGCATCTAGCGCCGAGGGCTACCCACTATATTCTAATTCTAAGCCAACCAGGTATTGGCGTCGTTGTGACGTCACCGCTACATCTGCACAAGAAGCGGATGACTTGCTCTCCGCATTCAATTATTTGCCGTTATGATTACGCCTATTCGTAAATTATTGTTTCAGAAAGAAACTATTTAATAATTAGTTTGAGCATCCAGCCCATGGAATAACTGCGCATATTCACCGAGAGTGTCGCAATATTTGGAAACGGATGTCTCCAGGTACATACTCCTTTTCGCACAAGTCCGAACTCAATCAACTCTCCGATTCGATGGAGTGAATCAATCAATGAGAGGCAAAAGTGCATCATCACGACGCTCGTCGTATTTCGATATGCATGCTGTCACCGGCTGAGCCAACCAAGCGCATGGCAGGCGCCGTGACCCTGCATTTTTGGTTAGGAGGTTTGAACCTGCGTTTGTGTCTTCTCATTTTCCACTGCGCTTGAATTTCAAATGAAAGGAAATATATGATTGTAATCGTATATATTGGGTTCAACTAATGAATATCGAAACTGATACGAAAACCGCCAAAAAGATTAAACCTATGACACTGCTGAAATATAGTCGTTTGACGTCAAATTCGAATGGTAAACCGTCGGCAACCTACTTTTGCGGAAAAAAACGGCAGTAGTGTTTGCGTGGTAAGTTTCCGGCAGGCGCACACTTTGCCGGTAGAAGGTGTCTGGCAAGCACCTGCAGCCTTCCGGAGGTTTTCACGCCCGAGCTCCAAACGGCCGGGCGAGCGGGCGCCAAACTGTGTTGCTACCCTTTAAATGGAAGTTGAGGTCAGTGAGAAAAGATGAACGACAGAACTATACTGATCTGAGGTCACTTTAGCAGCCAATACTCGAGTCGATCCAAGCGGTTGGGAGAATACCACGGGTAAAATGGATGATCCGAAAACGTGAGTGACGGGACGCCGGCGAATGACTCTGCGGTGTCTTGCGGGAAGGCGTCAAAGTAAACTGCCAACGTCCGGCGTTTCATGTTTGGGTACCAAAGGTCACGTGGTGTGCCGCCGGCGAGTTTCTGGCTGCCGGTGCCGCCGGCTCTGTCTCGCCGGTGTTCCCCGTTATAATTCTTCTTCTGAGGCTGTAGCCTCCGCTTAATAATGTAATCGCATTGCCAAATACTTTTTTGCCAATACGAGCTGAATGAACCAGTCAGACAACTTCCAAAGCGCACCATCCTGGTGTTCGCTTTTTATATGTGCGTGTTCTAACATCGCTAACACCAATCAGAAACAAAGAAGACGCATTGACGTGTGCTTTCCATACTGCTTGATTGGTCCAATTTGCTCGTAGCCTATAGGCTGCGTCTATACTTAATCTGAAACGCTTTATAAGCGAGACATTTAACTGCACAAAAATTCAATTGCTTTGGCCCTGATAGCTTTATGTAGTTGGAACGGCTGAACGCGCACGCCATCGGTGTTTTTCTTTTTAAATCGCAAGATGAAGATGCCGCCATCTACTGTAGTGAAAACCCCTCAAGACAGCAGAGGCATCTGTTTCTGATGTCTTGGCCGATTCAGTGTAGCGGTGCGTCGGCGGCAGGCGTCCCATACGACGCAACGCGACAGTATGACCAACTTGATGCTTGGGCGTTTCCTCGACACCGGCTCTCCCCGCCGCTTGGGAAAGAATTTGCGCTGTAATCGCGCTGTTTAATGTGAATGAGCAGATTAGATTGTATTAAGCTATTTGGTTGAACTTGATGGTCTCCTACTTTTCTCCACCTGTTGAGGTAAAGAGAAAAATAAAACTCTTTCTTTAGACAAACTGCCAGCCAATGTGGATATTACAAATTTCAAGAACAAAAAAAAAAAACGACCTTTGTAAATAACTAGCTAATATTTACTAGTCAACGTTTTAAATATAAAGATAAGCATACTATATGAATTAGAAACATGCTAATCATCATTGAAAACCTTAGAATCGAATCATTAGGATATTAAAAAAAGAAAAAAAACTTTCGGTGTTAAAAAAAAATACACAAAAACGTCCACATTTGACTTGCTGAAATGTATGTTAGGGCTAGTTGATTGTTGATCATCTTAGTTTAAAACAGCGCGACAAGGACAAAGGAAAGGCAGACGACATCGCTGACAATTTTGAGGCGCGTTTTGTTTCCTTTTCTCTGTCCGCTGGCCGAGACGCTGACCACCTTTTCCTTATACTTCCCTCCATTCTACGGGGAGGCGAGGCGGTGGCTTCGCGACTCCGCCACCCGGGCGGAGGACTGCAGGCACTAAAATGCACGGCGAAAATGAAACGAAATATAGAAACATTTCCATATTGAGAGTTTTTTTTTGGAACGCCGTACAATGCTCCCCTTGTCTTTTATTTTTCTAAAATTAGTTGAATTTGTGCTATTCGATGATGTTCCTCATTGAAACCATTAGTTTGTGATCGCAAATTGAAACTTTGATTAGGAAATTTTAGTGAAATATTAAGCTACTTGGTATTTTTTCGATATATCTTTAAGTTGGCTTAAAATATTTTCCGGAAAACAATACTTTTTCTTTTGTGGGCCATGCAATTTTTAAGCATTTATACAACCTTTCGTTAAAACACCTTGTATTTAGGTGAGGACCAGTGTTGTACCGAACGGATATTCCAGTGAAGCGTTTTTTTTAGGAAGAACGAAGGAACGCCAAGGTTTCTTTTTGCAACGGTGGAACTGGAACAGAAACTCCTGACATATTTACTGGAACGGAAAAAGAACGCAGTTCGCTTTTTCCGTCCAGTGGGATAATTTTTATTTTATTTCCGAGGAAAATTCTAAAAGTATAAAACCATCATCTTTCAGGTAGCGCAGGATCTTATTAACGTTTTGGTTAGTTATCTCGGGGCTTATTTTGTGTGGTCCTCGCTTTGTAACACTAAAGTCCAGGAGAACAAGTGGACATCGATTTTTTTCTCAGTGTCCGAGACTGCAATACAAAAAGCAAAACTCAGATAGTTTCTTTGCTTCCACGAATCCCCTTCCACTCGGTAATCTAAGGCCGACTACAACCATCACTGAACTTCTACAAAGAGACCCACAATTACAACAAAAGAAAAGCTTACCACATATGGAACATACCCGTGTATCCCGAATGTTGTTCAATTAAGAAATGCACAAAAAGTAACCTTTATTCCTTCTCCCCTTGTCCGCCAACTTGAAACTGAACAAGAAATCCAAACTTCAGGAAGAACTACTATTGTTTAAAACTGACTTCCCAAAAGCCCCACCACATCTTCACTCTCGTTTGCGGACGACAACAATGAGAAGCAACTGTTGTTAAGTTCAGCAAGGGACTTCGATCGATTGAAACGTGTGAGCTTGATGCAAAACGCCCGTGCAATGTGTGGTAACATAGCAAATGGCTCGTCTCAATCGCCTACCACAAACATGAATAGGGTTAACGATGAGATAGATAAAAAAGACAACTTTCGTGGATCCAGCGAAATATGGTAATCAGCAAAATGCAAATGTGACGTATATGCAACGATACGTTCCATTTTTGTAACTGTAACGGGAAGAAGTTCCTTTTTAACATATGAAACTTATAACGGGAACACGTTTAAAAAATCAGAAGGAACGAGGAAAAATCTTTCGTTTCTTTTTTGGATGAACGTGTACAGCACTGGAGGACACCCAGCACACCGAACGCTGCAACGGGACCGACCAGATGTAGCCTTATCGGCGCGCGAGCTTATTTCAGCTTATTCCAACCGCGTCGCGACCGGCCAGATTGAGGAAGCACACATGTGTCTCGCTGCAATGACAGCTCTCCACATCCGCTTTTCGCTGGGCGCGCATGCTTTGACCTCGACGCAAGCTGGCGTAAACACCGCGTTAGAGATATTGTCACGGTTGGTGACCAATAAACAAGAAATGAACAGGAAGAAATAAACGTTTACAGTGGCGAACTTGTGCCAAAATAAAAGGGTACAAAAGACAATAACAGAGCGTCGAGGGCGTCGAGGTCGGCGTAGCAGCAGAGTCGAACGCTGGGGCGAAAACTGACTCTGGCTTGCCACGCGGAGCCGCTTTTGTACACGCGTTGGCTTCTGGAGCATTCGACGTAGAAGGTTCGACGCGTAGAACATTCTAAACTCGAATCAGCAAGACGGTTCTCGAATTCACCAGAACATCCCATTACCGTGTCAACAAAATGCGTAGCCGCGGCCAGGAATCGAACCCTGGCCCTTCGCGTGGGAGGCAAAGGCGATAACCGTTAGGCTACGGCCGCGCTATCTACTTGGCGCGCGGCATTACTCCCCCCTTAAAACAGTGCATCGTCCCGATGCAACAGAAAACAAAACAAAGCACATAAAAAGAAGGGCAAACTAAAGAGTTATTTTAAACACATAAGATCCACAGTCCTATCGAGCGTAGTACGGCTTCAGGCGCACGACGTGGACAACTTCAGGTCGTGGTGGGCGGCGTGATGATGTTCTTGTTCCGTCGGCCATCACCTCGTAGTTCCGCTCGCCGAGGCGACGAAGTACCTTGTATGGTTCAAAGTATCGTTTCAGCAGTTTCTCACTGAGGCCGCGGCGACGGATGGGCGTCCACAGCCACACCCTGTCTCCGGGCTGGAAGTGAACGTCCCTGCGACGAAGGTTGTAGCGGCCCGCGTCGATGCGTTGCAGGTCTTGAATCATGAGTCGGGCGAGCTGGCGGACTTCTTCGGCGCGTTGAGCAACCACCTGGGCGTCGTCGCTCTGATTGTCAGATGGCTCATGGGGCAGCATTGCGTCCAGCATGGTCGTTACCTTCCGACCATGTACCAGCTGGAAAGGGGTGAATCCAG